AAAAAAAAAAAAAAAAAATTTTTTTTTTTTTTTAAAAAAAAAAAGGGGGTTTTTTCCCTTTTTTTTTTTTTTTTTTTTTTTTTTTTTTTTTTTGCCAGTAGTAACATCCAGTTGTTGATCACAACTTGTGTGTTGAGGAAAAAAAAATTCCATTGTAATTTTGCAAAGTACACAAATTTTGATGCAACCAAAACACATAGAGCAAAATAACTAAAAAAAAAAAGAAAATCACAGTTTTTGAAATAGCTGTGTCTCCATTAAGCAAATTTATTTTAGTAATTGCACTTTGCAGAATTACATGGTCAACGGAAACACGGACAGTGATTATTTCCTTAATGACATATTTTTAATTGTTTCAGTAGATTCTGGACACAAAACATACAGAAGTTTCCATTTCCTGGGGATTGTTTCACCCGCTGGACCACACAGTGAAGGGAACTATTAATGCTAGAAACGCTGACAATAAAGACGAATAATGAGGCAGAACAAAACCAAAATCTGTGAGGCAGGGATCGAAATTTCAACAACATGAAGGAAAGGTCAGAGACAGAAATGCAATTAGAGCAGTTAGGAAGCAGACAAAGGCAACTATTGTCAATTACATTGCCTTTGAGGTGTAGGTTTTAAAACCCTTGCATTAGAAGTTGCAGGAAACTTGAAACTGGGGTGGATGTCAACCTCATAAAGGACAACAATCCTAAATACACACCACAGCTTCGCTAAAATGGTTTAGATCAAAGCACATCAGTGTGTTAGAAGGTCAAAATCAAAGTCCAGACTCATTTCTAATTGAAAACATGTGGAAAGACTTGAAAATATCTGTTCTCCATGAAATAGAGCTGGTTTTGACTAGTTTCACAAAGACGATGTAGCATAGTCTAAAATTGCTAGAAACATACCCTTAAAAACTTGCAGAATCTACAGAATATTGACTCTGCTAAGAAACACAGTTTTCAAAAATGTTGTAAACTATGCATTAATTCCTTTCACTTTGAAATGATGCTTAACTCTGTGTTGGTCTATCACATAAAAGACCTGAAAGGGTCAACCCTGCGAAGAACTGTGCTGTACAGAAAAAGACACAAGAAAGAGAAAAAGTTTATTAAGTCACATGCTTAGTGATGTTCAAACCTAATGATTCACATTTTTACGAGGCCTGCCAACAGTTTTTCTTTAGATCTGATTCATTGGAGGTGTTAAAACTTGAAAGTGGAGCAACTTTTCTCAAGTACAAAATGGAAACACTTCACATGAAAGAAGAGAGGCTCCAAATTCTTCAGTCAGTTTCACTCGGAACAAGTGTAGATGATTCATCTTTCCTAATCTCTGCTGCCTAACAGACTTTGGCTCTAGGAAGTTTTATTACATCACCATTATTGACAAGTTGTGATCAGTCACAAAGAGTTTCTAGTTTCCGAGTTGCTTGATTATGGGCTGCTCATCTTTCAATCTGGAACAAGGACTAATTGCGAGGGATCAGCTCTGGGAGTTTGTGACAAATGGAGGCTCACAGATGGAGTATCACGTCGAAATGCGATTAAGAGGAAGACAAGTGTGTTGGAGTACAACGGTGAACTGTTTGTGTTTGTCTGGATGGAGGCGACGCATGTTAAAATTCCAGTGATTATCATCAGTTTCAGGGTTGCAAGCTAAAGGAAGACGGACAGAGCGGGAGAGGCAGGAGAGATTTTTCTACAAAGCCGTGGAAGGACTGAAGGAAAGCTCTGATAAGGCCTGCGCACATCTAAGTCTTTGCCAGGACTTGTGCCGCAGCGAAAATTGAATCATAACAGACAAGAAGAGATAAGCAAAGAAAATAATCATGCTTTTATGCTCTGTGCAGCAGCATGACAGGACATCAGTTTCACCAGTGCAGCTATTAAAACTTGGAAAAGTACATAAAATTACACCCAAAGCTCATGTTCTCTTAGTAGCCACACTGTAAAATGGATTAAATGGTCTCAATGTGAACTTTTGTGAAATGATTGACATGTAACACATCTATTAATATATATTAGATATGCTCATAGGGGCAATTGCTAAGAGTGGCATTCAGAAGGGGTGTGAAAAATCATTGTATAATCTGCCACTTGTACATCTTATTTCTTTCATTCCTGTCCCGTTGGACCCCTGGATGTTGAGTAGGAAACCCCTGCTTATGTTTGAGAATTAGACGTGTATTAGCAAACATTGCTAACACACAGGTTTGCTAACACACGGGCTACATGGGTGGTGAGGCACAAGTTATCCTGAGACTTGTCTTTTTTAAGTTGTTCTCTTTGTGTGTTAAAATGTAGTTGTAGCAAAATGTGATGAAAAATTCATATTTTGCACGTTTTTGCACTTCCACTTGGGTCTCAAACACTCCTAAAAAAACAACACAATCACTGTTGCCAACCAGTTTTTGGCAATAAATTGTTGTGTTTTGGGAGGTCTGTAAAATGAGTCATTTCAAAAACACTCTGGAACGTAAAGTCAGCTTCGGTTGCCCGTCACCTAGCAACCGAAGCTGAGCTCCAGCACATTTGGTCAGCTGGTTTACAGTGGCTGCTGGAGAAGGAACATGTGTTGTTGTTGACTTGCCACTCAGAAACCACTTGCTGCATTCTCAGTGGTTGTGCAGGAGGCTCTACGTCTGCTTTTCAAAGATGTACGGTTGTGAAATTGCGCATCTATTTGCAGCCAATTTTACATGTGAGTGTGAATGTTGAGTTGGGGGTTGTGACCAGCAGCAGCTTATTTGGATCTAAGGATTTAAATCTGATGAATATGTCCCGTGGAGAGAACTGAAGATTATGATGAAGGTAGGGAGGGTTTCCAACCTCAAAGTCTTGAAGATATTTAAATCTGTCAAATGGACTGAGTTCACTGAGTATTTTTGTTTAGAAATTGGGTCTGTTTGTTTTGTAAATTTCCTTGAGACATTTGTTGTGAATTAATGCTGCACAAGTAAATAATTAAAACTAAACACTCTCATGTTCAGTGGTCTATGTTTGAATCCTAAAAAAAAAAAAAAAAAACTTCCTAAACATCCATCCATGCGTATTCAGTTGCTTGTACATGCCATCTCATTTTTTTGGTCACTATCCAGAAAACCACATAACTGCAGGCTGCACTGATATGACTATCAATGTGCAGAAGAACTAAAAAATGGAAATAAGTTTATCATTTCTTAATAAACAAATGGTTTGCTCGTGTGTGTGTGTGTGTGTACCCAGTTAGACACAAGTGGATTTACAGGCATAAAGTCTAATTCTCATACATCCAACCAGTCTCAAACATCGCTTGTCAGTTGTGGCTTTGCTGACTAAATGATTGCACACTTTGCAGAGAGAAAGAAAAATGCCTGACTGATGCTAAATAGAATGAAAGTGGTGACAGGAACTGTGAAGTATCAGTGGTCCTTTCACCACTGAGCTGGTGACTCAGCATTGGCCAGCAGCAAATTTCAATAAATCAAACCACTAACTGGACTCACGGGGCAGCCATGGGCAGAGTGCTTCTCATTACAGCTTTGTAAGTCTGCAATGAGCTGATTGACAGTTTGGAAAACGGCCCGGGAATAATCTCCAAACATTTCAGTTGGTAAGCAACTTTTCTTTGTGTCTGTTGTTTTTCCTCATTGGCCTCCGGTTTTAGATGACTCATATTTTCCACCCACACCAGTGTGTTATATACATTACTCATGTGAAAATGTTAAAACACTGTAATAAATCTTGGTGGACAACATATTTGAACTTAAAAACAGACGTTATCAGTTTCATCCTGTCTGACTACAGCTGATTTTGGTGGAATAACCCTTTTTCCAGTAATTACATCATTAAATGTAATGTCAAGACCAACAGACTTTAAGAGGATTCATTTGAAATTAGTCAACATGTTTACAGAACACCGAGTTAAACAAAAATACATTTATATTAAAACTGTATGATAATGCCAGCATCACTTTATACTATGAATTCAATCCATCTATGTATTGTCTAAACCCAGTTATGCTTGCAGGATGAGAAACACCACATGAAGAGTGATTGACAGCACCAAGACCCGCCTCCTGGCTCTGATTGGTTGTTTCCAGTCAACACTGGGAAAAAGAAAAAGGAAATCTGTCCAAACCAACCCAACTCTATAGTTCGTGACGGTTCAGGTAGAATTAAAACATTAAAAGAGAAGTAATCACTTTGACACCACTCCAAAAAGCCGCCGTCATTACAAACCCATTAAGGAAGGCCTACAGTGAGCAGTGAAAGTACTTAAAGACATGGCATCCTGCTTCCAGCTCTGATGAAACTCCATTTCTCCTCCTAATGAGTGCAAAAGACACGCAAACACCAGCAGAGGAAGCAAACAAAAATTACAAGCTCCGCTCAGACAAGTAAATATAATTAACAGGCACCAAATCTAACAGTGCACCTGTTGTAGTTCTGAGAAGCCATCCATCCTGCCTGCCGCTTAAATGCTGCATATGTGCTCTTCACATAATGATGCTGCTATTTTAAAATTGGTAAATTGTTTCACTCTACAGCAATTTCCTGTACATGCTGCCATGTGGTGCATCGACAAGGCCCAATCTCATGCTTTTAGCAGTTATTTTTATTTTTTGGCCTAGATGTTTATGGACCTGCATCCAGAGAGGCCACAGTTTTGGCTTTCCTGTGTGCATGCAACATTTGGGCATAATGAGCCTGGGAACTCTTGGGCGCTGCTCTAATAGCTGCACTCTAAGCCATCCCCCTCGGCTAAAGGGTCGCGCTGCGTCGATGGGAGCTGATGGGAGCTGATGCAAGCGCCTGGGCCCGGCAGCCTGCGGCCCAGCAATCTATCAGCACAGCTTAGGACACCGCCACTGCTCAGCACCGTGGCCGAGGCGCGGGGCCGACACACAGTGCCCCAACTGGAAATACACAGACAAATTGCACTTATAAAGCACATGTTGAGTTTCATCAACTAAGAGCAGCGTTGAAACGGAGCAAGAGCAGGAAAGAGGCCCGAGCCGCAGCCTGCTGGATCACATTGTGACATTTTTGTGAGCTCCCCAAAAAACACAGTGATTATTTAAATCCTCTCAGATTAATAGATTTGTTTACTGCTGGAACTCTGTCCAAAAGATGAGCTCCTGAAAAAGATTCTTTCATTTAAAGCACAGGTGTCCAAAGTGCGGCTCAGGGGCCATTCGTGGCCCCTGGAATGATTTTGTTTGGTCCCCACGCAGATAGAGACTTTTTAATTTGTAATCAGGGTAAAACCTGTTACCAACATAATTTTCTTATGGAGAATGTAAAATACAACAAAAAGTGTTTGTAATTTTAAAACCAAGTTTTAACAAAAAGTAAAACCAAGAGACTTTTACTGGAAAACCAACTTTGCTTCACCCAAATCAGCTTTTATTTTTTCTTAAACTTGGTTGAACATAGCAAACGTTTTGAAACAAAGTGACACAAATCATGTTCTTATTACTGAAAATCAATTTATTTAATTGAGCCCAAAGAAAAATTAAAACTACGTGTCCAAAGCAATCATGCAAAATTTGCTTTGGCGTAGGGCCAATGTAGGAGAAAAAAAAATAAAAAATTGCCAAATAAACATAACTTTTAGATTAACAGAAATTTTCTACAAAAAACTTAATTAATCACAAGATTCCTGAGAAATTAAAAAAAATGAGGGTGGGCTTTTTGGCCTGTGACTACTTTTGAGTCTGTAATTTTGTCCCATGTGACAAAAAGTTTGGACACCCCTGATTTAAAAGTAAAACAAACTATAATTCCAATATATTTATCACCGCATGACGTAAGACAGTTCCTGTGTCGGTACCATCAGGCCGCGTGTTGTTCTGAGCTCATTAGCATCAACTGGTCGAGCTTGATGAGAGCCAAGCTGCAGTTTTTAAGAAGAGGCTGATATGTAAAGAGGAGATTAAGACGCTGTCAGCATGCTGGAGGAGAATCCAGACAAAGTCCCATGTCGCTGTCTGGGCCATCAGGGTCCATCTTTATTAAAGCATTTAATGAGATCATTTAGCTAATTCTAATAAATCACACAGGATTTATGGAACAGATGCAAAGTTTTTACTTTTTTTCCTCCACTGAAACTTCAAATTAGAAACAGCGAGGTTGACACTCTAAAAGTCATTTCTATAATTTGTCTCAATGAAGGCGACACACTAATAGTCCCTCCAGCAGTCATCTTTGTCTCCAGAATCTCAGGATTCCACTGTGATGCTGAAAAGTGGTATCCTGTTAATGGGGCCCTGCATGGTTCAGTTGGTGGAACATGCACAGCATCTGAAGAAACTTTAGTCCTCATTGCTCTTCTGGGTTCAGTTCCCGGTCAAGGCCACTTCATGCACGTCTTCCTCCTCTGTTTCTACACTATTTCCTGTCAGTTTACAGTTCAAGATAGACCACAGAGTCACAAAATATAAAATTAAAAACACGGATGAGGAAAGTAATTAAAAAGCTGACATTTGAGGCACAAATTAAATATTTAGAAAAGCATCAATCAGAGAATTTCTGGTCTATTTTGTGCTCATCCAGATTTCAGAAAACTCCAATTTCTCCATACTTTAAAAGTATAACTGCTTCGACATAGTTAATTTTACGAGATTATATTTCTTAAATTTAAATTAGCAGAAGACACATCACAATTGTTTAGAGAGAGCAATCATGGTGAAACGGCGTATAACGATTGTTTTAAAAGAAATAAAACATTATCAAGGAGTCTTCGCTTCTTTAATTAAACAATTAGCTACTTTGTTATTTTTCATGGTGTCCTCACAGGAACCATGAGGTCCAATCAGATCATGTACTGGTTACTTTTAGGATGTCAGCAGATCCGGCAAGCACAGGCTACCTGTGTTTTGTTTACATCCGCCTTAAGACAAAACGTACAGGGAACTCACAAAATACTTTCCCCTCTAAAGTTTCATGGTAATTACCATAAAGGCAATAAATAAATGTCACTTTTCTGTCACTTGCACATATATCAGCATCTTAATCTGCAGTCCTCCTTCTTAAATAATGGGACCCCTCCATAAAACATGACAAAAGCCTGAGGTAGTATAGACATAAACTGCTGCCTTTGGGTACTTTAGCAATAATCGGATAAATCTTCACATAAAATACTTTCTCTCCTTGTAGCATGCATGAATAATCCTTCATGGTGACAGCAGAAGGAAGGGAGCCGTGGGCATTGATCGTAGCTGTGATTGTAAGGAGGCACTGGATTGAGTCGCACAATCACCAGCAATTACATTGATTGGATGAATCTTCAATGGAGCATCGTGGCTAAACAAAGAGGAAGCAGTTGGAGACTTGGGAGGACAGTGTGAGGTGATGAATGATTCACTGTGTATTCTGCACCTGTAATTTAGTTTGACAAGCTGATGAGACTGCACTGCGCGCCTCACTGAATGCTAATATGCTTCCTGCACACTCTGTTCCTCAGCCCAGATTAGAAACAGTCTCATAAGCTGTAAATCCGTGAGAAGTTCGGACATTTTTTATTTATTTATTCATTTTTACATGCTGGGGGTTTTAATGAAACATCTAAGACCACATCAGAAGCCTCTGCATGCAGAAGAAACTAAATTCTGACATCTTTTGTTTGAGTTAAAAAGACAGATTGCTGTTCATCAACAAAACAATTTCATGTCCAAGTCTTATCATTCCTTCACCTGTCCATCACTTTCTGCCAGCTTGCTCTCTCTCCAGAAATAATATTCACCTATCCATTGTTACAGGACCAATATGGCTAACTTCCTCAGGTTCAGTTTAGTTTTTTCTAATAAACATAAATCCTTACAACTGTAAATCCACTCCTATTTACGTCTTAAAAAATACACTGGATTGTGTCAATGTATATTACTTTCCTTTGTTCAGCAGGAGTGAATTAAGATCCAGCAAGACACCATAAGAAATATTTTTTTAATCACTAAAAATTTTTTGACAACATTTTTCAGACTTGGTAATAAAGTAGCACCAAACAAAACGCTGTAAAAATTGGTTTCCATTCCAGCATCGGCATTCTGATTTTGTTCTGAACCTTTAATCTTTGTTCTTTCATCTTTTAATTAGAAAAGAGTGGCGGGAATCTTCAGGTAGCTGTGTCACGTTAACAGTTTTATCAGACTCTGACCTAATGCTTAACTGGCTAAAATACCAAATCTTACCTGCAGCAGTTAGTAAAAGATAAAGTTAATTAATTTCATTTCTGTAGATAATTTGACTGAAATAGCTTTGGTTGAAATTACTCCGCACTCATAGCTGGGAAATATGGCCCTAAATCATTTAACGCCCCAAAATAGATGATGAATCTGATGAAAAACAGAAGCTGTCACATTACAAAGTTTCCTCAAACCTCTAGAATCCTAGAAAACACAAATACAATTTTACTTAAGATAATTAAATTACTATTTTTGTAAACATTATAACTGCAAAATACAAATGTGAAACAACACAACAGCTTTAAGCTTTTTACTTTTGTACCACCAGATTTTTTTTATATACTTTAAGCTATCAATGTTACAAAAACAAAATTCACTTTTGGGCTCCTGAATCTGGACACACATGTTAAAATATATACATGCTTATAGTAGCAGCACCTAGACAAAAAAAAAACAACAAAAAGTTAAAGTAAAAATTTAACATTTCAGTGCATATTGTTTTGTACCCAATTTGAAAAAAATAAAAAATACAGTATTCCCTCTTTGTAATCCACCACTGAATGCACAAAGGGCAGAATGTCACCTCAGAGTGGAAGTGGGTTTTTCTTCTTCCAATACAGAAATAAGATGTCACAATATGAGTCGCACAATTTAGCATAACATTAATCATCACAACAGGCTATGCTAGCTGCAGCATAGCACAGAACGAGGGGGAGGGAGGATGAGCAGCTACATGAGATTGTGATTGACAGCACTAAAACTCTCCTGCCACTGACTGGTTGTTTCTAGCACTGGGAGAAAGCAGAGGTAATAAAATTTTCACAGATCATCTCTCATACCAAACTGTCACAACATAGTGACAGTTTAACAAATATGTGGAAATAATTTTATAAAAGTTACATACCGCAGCTTTAATTTCACTTAGGAGAGGAGAAGACGGGTCAGGAGGGACGTGGGTTAGAGCTGCTGCTGACTGACTCATCTGTTAAGTGGTAAAAGGTACAAGAACAAGTTAAATATATGAAAATCTTGGTAATGTTTTTCCTCAGTTCATTAAATGATAGTTAAGAGGAGGTAAATGATTAGCCTGTAGCTAAGCTAACTATGCTAAATGGTTGATAATCTCACACAGTCTACCCTCCTCTCGGAGAAAAACTGGACTATAAATAGACATTCTTACCTTTTTCTCTCTCCCTCTCTAATTTTCTATTTTTTTTGAAAATCTGACTTTATCATTTTTCTTAGCAGCTTAGTAATTGCCACAGTCGTTCTGGTCTTCTACTGACTGCTGCTGAACACCGTCAAGCGCTCGAAGCAGGAACGAACCATTTCATGCAGATCAGGGGGGTTCAGGGCAAATATGGATGTGCGTGTTTTTTGATCTGGGAGTGGGAATATACATTTTTTATTGCTAAAAACAATCTTCGAAAACACAATATGATTAATTTTGTAATTGACAGGGGCCCCATTTTTATTATTTTTTTATTTCTATGAACAAAAAATAAATAAATAAATTGTGGAGGGCCCCCTGTCGCTCAGAGGCCCTTAGAATCGTCATAACTTTTCCCCCCTATAAGGCGCCCCTGGCACATCCACCTGTTTTGTGAAGACTTTAAAGGTTAGAAAACATGAGAGAACAAAACGGACAGATCAGGGCCAAAGTGGTGAAGAAGCTAAAACCAGTGATGTAAACTTGAAGATCTCATGTAGCACAGTTCAATCCATTGTCTATAAGCAGAAATGTTCTGAGACACGGCTGCTTTAGATCAAATTATGTTTGTTAGAATGGACCATGCACAGTCCAGACCTAATGGGATTTTATTTTTACTTTCTATCTGTGCAGCTGTTTTTCCGGTAGAAGCGGTACTGAATGAAAAAGAATGTCAAAGTTATTATGAATCTTGTGCACAAAATATTTTAAATGATATGCCATTTTCTTTCAACTTTACACTCATGTATTACTTTTGGTCAATAAAAATCCAAGAAACTGTGTGGTTGTAACAGCAGAACTGCTGCAAGGCGCAACAGGAGAAGAGAATCTGTCAGAGAGGCTGTTGTGAGTTTTGCAACACAATCACTAACCTTCAAAGGTTTTAAACAATAAAACACAAGACCAGAGTAGTTCTATTGTTTGCTCTGCTTTCATCAGAAATAACTAGCAGTTATTTATCACAAATCAGAAGTCAGGTTTTCAACTCATCCAGGCCGTGGAAGCGTATAGGGTGTTTGATGATTTTCCAGTGATGTTGGAGGTCAGAATGATCAGTAGATGGTTCAAATGTGCCAAGGCCAGAAGCAAAACCTCCGGACGTAATTTCTCACCCGCTAAAAAGCCCATTATCACTTGCTCTTTGCAGTGCCATGTGCCCATTATTTCATGTCTTTTCCTTTCCCTTTTATGAAAGGTTAGCTGGAGGTGTCTACAGCAGCCATGGTGGCCGAATCGCTGAGTTAAGGTTCTTGTGTGCAACAAATTCCCCGAACAGAAACTGCAAATAGTTTTCAAGAGACTCCAAACATTTTTCTTCTTCTTTGCTTGTTGATTTCTAAAGAAACAAAAATAAATCTGAACAAACCACCTACAAGGAGTTATGAATCGGTTTAGTAAAACATATTAAAGAGTCATTTCACATTCACCCCACTTTGTAAAACAATAAAAAATTAATTTATAGTTAACTGGGTTAAAATTGCATTGATTACTATATATTCTGTTCTTTAGATAGATATGCATCTCCCTTCATTATGAATCCAAAATCTTAAAATGAAATTGTTGTTCTGGAGATTCAAGATGATGCTCTTTCCTGCTACTCTCCAAAATAAAAGTGTTTCATCTCCTTTGTGATTTTTCTCACTTTATTGTAGCAAAATAATCCTAAGTCCTTCAGTTCAAAAATATTTTTTCCTCCATGTCCTGAATTACATCAAAACTAAGTTCTCACATTTTCCATTTCAAAATAAAATTAAATATCTTTTTTACACTTCTTTAACACAAATGCTCATATTAGAAGAGGCTGCTATACATCAACATTTGCACTACAGTTATTTACATAAAACATACTGAAAGATTCAGGAATATGTAACCACTGAACTTCTCTATCAGCTGCAAATGGAGTAAAATGTTAATCATTTTCAGTGCTATCGTTCTAAAACCAAGTTTTAATTACGATTTGAATCAGTTTACCTGATTAAAAAATAGAAAACTGTTACAGAATATGAATTATTATTTGCTTTTTTTGTTGAATCTGGCTTTTATAAATTCATAAATGCAGAGTAAATTAAGAACAAAGATTATTTTAAACAGTTTAGAAATAATTGTGTTTTGACAGAAGTCTAACATCATTTAGGATTGCCATTAAAGAGATCTGAATTTTTCACCGTTCTGAACTAAAATTGTTTTAAAATTCAATTTTTCCTTTTACTTTCATGACAATTTTTTCATGAATCTAAAAAAAGAAGTCCTGATTTTTTGATATGTGAGGCTGCAGTAACACTTCAGCTGCTGTGAGAACGGGAATAAAATCTTCATTCAAGTGCAAATTTCTCAGGTAAAGTTTGAAAATTGCTGGGAAATGTTCACGCTGAATCAGAACAAAGTTTCAGTTCTTCAGAATCGTAAGCTTTCAGAGCTCTGAGGTATTGGAAGAAAATCCAAAACACTTAACGTCTTCATCAAAAAAATGCATAGATAAACATTAAGTTTATATTTTAAATATATTTAAATGTCTAAAGGTACAAAATACAAAATGATCAAAAACAGAAAACTAATGCGTTGGCTGTGTTACATAACTGATGTTTCTCATCTGTGCTTCTTCATCAGAGCTGTCCTTCCCCTGTTAAGTTAAGCAACATTTAAATTAATGTTGGCATAAAACAAATGTTAGTCTGATTGATTGTGCCGTCCTCTGGCAAGATGTTTAAACAGCATTTCTCTCTTTAATGAAAGACGAATTACATTTGAGGAAATGTGCGTCTTCCACCCATCTGTGTGAAATGTGGCAAATTAATCTGAGCTGCTTTCTTTATTCTCAAGAGAGAAAAACGAAATGTATATGAAGCATTCTCCACAGTGTTCATTTAGCAGCTTTACCAGTGGGAGAAATATTTATTCACCGACTGTTTAAATTTGTCAGAAAGGGCAGTGGAGACGAATGAAGACAAAAACGGGTTTACATTGTAAGAATGGCTGCTAGACTTGACTGTAAGGTACTAAGACTAACTAACCAGCTTAATTTAACTTTTTTAAAAATACTGAAGCATTCAGATGTTGTTTTTAAATTAAATAAAGCATTAGAAAATCATGAGCATTTGCAGACCTGGAGGAAAACGATGACGGTGAAAACATGATGGTGTTTGCTACAGTTGGAGGTGGAGAAAACTCTAAAAGTACAAACAAGATGCCAGGACTGGAAAGCATACATACCCTAAGAAAGATGTCAAAGTGTCCGCTAGAAGCCTGAGAGCAGTACACTTTGATAATAGCAGAGTCTGGACAAATGGTCAGTATGTCCTGCAGCAGCACAACCTCATACAAGTATAACTATAGAGATTGGTCAGATAACCTACAACACTATCAGGTTCATCAGCCAGGAAGGACTTAAACCTAGTCTTAAAAATACAGAGGGTGACTGCCTCATAGACAAAAACTGGAGTCTGGTTCCATAGAAACTCTAGAAACAAGCACTGGAGCTGCAGTCTGAGAGGAGGCGGATCCGTAGAGAGCATGAAAAGATCAGATCTCTAATGTGAGACGAAGCGTTAATATTCAGGGCTCTAATTAAGAAGAACATTTGAAATCTGCACCCCGGCTTCTACAGGGAGTCATCCAGGAAAAGATACAGCAGGAGAAAATGTGTCTTATTTCCACTAGAACAGCGTTTTGGATAAGCTGAAGCAGTTTCCAGTTTTCTGCTTTTTTAGCCTTCCTGAGTGAGGAAAAACTTGCATTTATCACTTAAGAGCTACTGTAGATCTTTACAGCCTCACTTTAGAGCAGATTTATACATTTTCTTAGCATCAGTATAACAATAAACTGGATCCGAAGCCATCTAAAATTTTACAAAGTACTTTCACAAAGCGAAGGTCAGCATGTCCAAGCCCTGACCCCTGTGGTACTCCAGTGGTAACTTTTTGCATGACGAAAATTAACCTTTAACATTAACAAAATATGATCCTAATGAATCTAGTGTTGTTCCTGTGAACTCTACCTCAAAGAGTTTGCATTTAATATGCAACTTTAAAGCTAATATTTATAACTGTAATTTCTCTTGGAGAGTGCAACTCCTTGCCTTTTTTCTACTTTCAGATTGTTGTGAGATGCTGTCAAGTCAGTAGATTTAGTTCAGACAACTTCAAAATATCTATAATCTACATCGTAGCAATTAGATTATCTTCCTTTCATGAAGTCTATTTAGTTTTTTCACTTTCCTACAAACAAACATTCTCCAACAGCAATTTATTCAGCCACTTTGTTTAAGCCAGAGGTTCCCAAACTGTGGGGCGCGCCCTCGAGGGGGGGCCCCGTGTCATTGCAGGGGGGGGGGCGCGGGAAGCCGTCTGAA